CCCCAAAACCCCAAAACCCCAAAACCCCTGAATCTATAAAAATCAAGAATTTATTGATTTAAGAATAATAGTAAGTTGATATTTTAAAATTTGAAATGGCAGATTACGGAAACAATAATAACGTTATTGAGCAATCAAATAGCTCTTCTCATATGGACTTATCTATCAACCCAAATTACGTTCATGGTACTTTTTCAAAAACATTTAACTTACTTTAAAACGATAGCTCATTTGGGAAGTCCCTAAGTGCCAGAGGCAAATTCTTAAAGAAGAGAAATAGGAGATTTAGCAGTATGGACTTTATCTTCAGCTAAACCTGGGAATGGAGTTGAGTAACTGAGAGATGATTAAATTTCCACTTTTTGGCAGTACGGATTAAAATCTAATTAATTAAAATTATATTTAGATCAGACGGCACTTAACCGCATTATGTGAATATTTAATTCTTGAAAAAAATGAGAGTTTAAGAGGTATCACTTTATTTGGACTTTAAAACTGATGAATCGTACACACCATCTAAAATCTCTATTAGAGTTGGAAATAGCTTTTATGAACTCTAAGAAGTAAAACTCATTGAATTTGAAGAACCTATTGGCTGGTTTACATTTTAACTATAAGAGAAAGGAACCAGTGGTTAAATATTGAAACCCTATATAAAAACTATGTTTGTACAAATAGCGATAATTCAGAACTAGCACAGTGGCAGAGATACTCACATTAGGCAGATTAAAATATTTGCTCCTAGAGATAAGTGCTATTATAGTGATATGTATCCTCACTTTAAATCAGTTGAAATGACTTAATTTGCTTCTATTAGATGAAATAAACTTAATTAAAAAATTATAAATTAAAAAAAGAATTTGGATACGCCGGGAATTGAACCCGGGGCCTATCGCATGCGAAGCAAACGTGATACCACTACACCACGTACCCAACTCGTTCGTTCTTCTTTATTTCCCTATTATATCTGCCTCAAATCTAAATTACCTTAGTTTTGAGCTTGTAGGAAATGCCTGCATTGTTTATTATATGATCTTTAATCTCTGAACATTTTACATAAAATTAAGATTATCTGTTTAGTAAGGGGTTTTGGGGTTTTGGGG